CTAAAACGTACGACACGATTCTCCATTCTTTGGCCATCAATCCAAATCCATTGCGCGCCTCTAATTCAAACAAAAGGCAGCTACCTAACGCGCACCCAGCAGTTAGATGCGATATGATATGACTACTAGGCACTTAGGATATGACTACTATAAGCACTTAAAAAAAAAAACCCAACCCTAACCTAACCTAAACCCTAAACCTAAGCTAAACCCTAACCCTAACCCAAAAAAAAAAAAAATTTAATTAAATTAAAGTGCCTAGTAGTCATATCATATCGCATCTAACTGCCGGTTGCACCTAACGCGCTATTGCTAACTCGGCGAGGCATGTGGCTCGTTGGGAGATTAGGCATCAACACTCGGCGAGATAACCTTTGACCCGGTACACAACTACACAGGCCACCTCTGCACATAGCTGGCATGCCTTCACGCACGCACGCCAACCGCAATCAGCAGCAGCTGATCGGGCTCAAATCTCCCAGCGAGCCACATTGCCCGCCGAGTTAGCAAGCTGCGGTTAGGTAGCTGCCTTTTGTTTGAATTAGAGGCGCGCAATGGACTTGGATTGATGGCCAAAGAATGGAGAATCGTGTCGTACGTTTTAGTTCTGCTTAATGCTGCGTTCACACGTGACTCCGTATTTATGAAATTCGGTATTTGCAAGATACCGAATCTGAGACAAATACGCGACCGAGCGTTCACACGCTGTTTCGCGGCTCCAGAAATGCCGTATTTGCGAGCTGCGAGCTGCTTTAGTACCCTGAAAAAAAAACAATTTCTAGTGTGTCTCGAAATGCACAAGTTGCGAAAATAACAACCCACTCGTCTACTAGGGGACGCCACCAGTTCAATATGAAAAATGCTATGACTACGCTATGGCTGAGGCTTTACGCTCTCTGCCATTACACGAACAACTGGCGCAAATATAATTATATCTGGAACTGCGCCAAATATGTGAGGTCAAGAAAATAAATGTATATGCATCTCTTCGTATTTCCTGCTCGGCTGAGCCAGATTATGCCTAGTTGTTTCATGCACTCAGTGGGAGTTAGCCTGGTTTTTATAGTGACGTAGGTCTATATATATAAAGCTAAGTGAATCTTTTCCAGATAGCGTATCATCCTTTGAGCCTCAAATTATTAAGAACACCTATCTGCATTGATCATTTATTATAAAACCTTTCATGGTGCGATATCACATTGCAATTTTATAAACTGTAAGATTAATGCAGGCGGTTCTCACTGCATGTACCTCAAGCACAAAGGTCAACTAGACAGAGGGCACTCAAAAAGAGTGCATACCTCCGCGAGCGTGTAACATGTATACATGTGTATAACAGCTGGCTCGCTGCTGGCTGCTGCTG